AGGTCCCATAGCTTGACCTTTACCTTTTTAGGCATTGGTTGAGCTTGTCCCACCATCAAGGGTGATAGTGAGGACTTGGGACAGAAGCTCCTTTAGCTTGGTTGGGTCCCTGGACTGTTCTGAAGTCACTATGGCCTTGGCTCTAGAGAATGGCTTGATCTCCCCTTGTACCTTATCTTGTACTCAATCTTCCCATTTTCAAACTTGGTGGGGAACAAAGTCATTGTGAGCTGAGATGGCTTGACTGAAGGGGCCTGAGCTGGTGGATCCTTTCTTTTATCTCCTGGTCTTGCCTTAGAGGCTGCATCCTCCCCTTCTTTTAGAGCCCTTCCTAGTGGCTCATCAAACAAAGCTTGAAGGCTCTCTTCATCAAGCACACAAGGGGCTTGAACAAGTCCTCAGCTCTGGCCTATCAGAACGTGGTTTCTCAACTCTAGCCCTCTCAAGACGTGGCTTCTCAATCCTTGGTCCTCTCTCATCCTTATCCTTCCCAACTCTTGGTTCCTTGTCAACCCTTTCCTTCACAACCTTTGTAGCTCCATGACTCTTAGAACTGAGATTGGTACTGTCAATTGTGGCACAAAAGTCTGAACCTCTAGGCTGCAAGCGATATGACACCAAACTATTCACCTTGTGAAGGATCACTTCTTGCTTGTGAAAGTCTATTGAAGCGCCAACTGTACTAAGGAAAGGGGTTCCCAATAGCAAGGCAAATCCTTCTCTTCTTCCATTTCCATCACAGTGAGATCAGTTTGGATGATGCATTCTCCAATTTTCAAGTGATAGTTCTTGAACACTCCAAGAGGAGACTTAGAAGTTGCATCTCCAAACATGATTGAAGTAGTAGGGCGCTGCAAGGCTCCAGCTATGCCTAGCTTCTCTGCCATGGAGAGAGAGATCAGATTGATGCTTGCTCCAGAATCCACTAAGGCATTGTCAATCTCAAGATGCCCAAGTGTGCAAGGGAGAGTGAATTTCCCTTGATCCTTGACCTTTGGTAGGAAGGTGGGTGAAGTAAGCAGGTTGAACTGATGAGTAGACTCTTGTAGGACCTCTGAAACTTTATCACTGTTGGCTAACATCCTTGACCATTTGCATTTGATCAAATGCCTCACTCATGCTATCCATAGGAGGCAACTCAATTCCAATCCCACTGAGATCTCTTCTGAACTTGTGAATCACTTCCTTGTGACCTTGACTAAGTAGGCGAGACGAGGAAGCGGCAACCGGTTGTAAGGATCAAGCAAAACAGGCTGTCGGACAGAAGAGGTCGGACTCGATCGAGCTAGAGTTGGACTCGATCGAGCTGCCGATCGAGCTTGTCGTGCGAGCTCAACTGGTGAAGTGTGAATGGCCACAGTAGGTGCTGCACTTCTGGTTGATCAATCTGGACTCCAGGAGCCTCAGCAGCAACAATCTCTTCATCATTCAGCAGTAAACAAAAATCTTCAATGACCCTTTCTTGATCCTCTTCTTCAACAAGTCCTTCTTGAGTGAAGATGACCTTGCACTGTTCCTTGGGGTTCTGAATAGCTTTACCAGGTAGTTGTCCTTGCTTTGTAGCAGCAGCAACAGAAGAAGCATGATTCTCCAGAGAGTAAACCCTTGTGTTGAGGTTCTCGATCTTAGAGTTTATTTCAGCTAGCTTCTTGCTTGTGTCCACTACCCCATCAGCTTGCCCTTGAAGTAGTTGCTTTAGCATTGCCTTGAGCTCATTCTCTTGTGAAGGTGCAGGCTGGGGCGGTTGGTGGGGGAAGCCTGGTGGGATATTCATTTGTTGTCCAGGGAAAGTGCCTTGTGGTCCTTGGTAATTGTTCTTTTGACCATACCCATGTTGTGTCCTTGACTCGATCGAGCTGCTTGTTGTTGAGGATAGACTTGGTCCTGAGGGTTAGCAACATCAGTGTTGCGGTATGACATGGCAGGGTTGGACTTGTAATTATAGTATCCTTTGTTGTAACCTCCTTGCCCATTGCTCATGTAGCATACCTCAGCAAATTGTGTATCCTCCCCTTCTTGGACTGGTTCCATCTCCTCAGCAGACACAAAGTTGACTTTCTTCATTGTGGACTGAGCTAGGATCAGCTTATCCAACTTCTCATTCAATGCCTTAACATCTTTTCTCAACTTTTCGTCTGACTCGATCGAGTGGTGGGTCGAGCTCCGGTTGGTGCGATCATACTCTTCTCCATAGCTTCCATTTGAGTTAGCTATGTTCTCCACAAGTTGCCAGCCATCATCTACATCCTGGTTGAGGAAGTTCCCATTGCTAGCTGTGTCTAGCATCTCCCTATACCTAGGCAAGCATCCTCTATAAAGAGTGGAGAGTAGTGATTCATTGTTGAATCCATGGTGTGGGCACTGACTTGTGTAGCCTTTGAACCTCTCCCAAGCCTCTGCGAATGTCTCATTGTTTCGCTGGATGAAGCTGGATATCTCTCCTCTAAGCTTGGCTGTGCGACCGGTGGAGAAAAACTTAGCAAGAAAGGCCTTCTTGCATTCATCCCAAGTGGTGATTGTGCCATGGGGCAAGCTCTTCTCCCATTGGTGAGCTTTGTCAGCTAGAGACATAGGAAAGAGTCTCAGCTTGATGGCATCTTCAGAGACACCATTGATCTTTGTCAAATCACAAAGCCTATCAAACTCATCAAGGTGGTCAATGGGGTCTTCACTTGGCAATCCATGGAACATCTTGTTCTGGACAAGGTTGATCATTCCCAGCTTGATCTCAAAGTTGTGGTTCTGCACTGGTGGTGGAACAATCCCTTGTCTCTGTTGGTGGCGGTTTGGAGCATCTCCTTGACCAATCGGTCGAGTTTGCCTAGCTCGACCGAGTCCATTGCCCAAAGGGTTTCCATTCCCCTCTGGTACATCCATTGTATCAGCAACAAGCACCTCAGGTTCCTCTTGTACCCTCTGTGACCTCTGAACCTCTTTCTACCCGTTGTAAGTCTAGCTCGACCAAGTCTTCAGTTAGACCGACTCGATCGAGTTCGCATACACCTGCAAAAAGAGACAAAAACCCAGCAGTACAATAGAACAGGGGTGGTATAGCTTGATCGTCCAAGTGTGTTTGAAACTCAAATGCAACAAAAATATTCCCAAATCGGCAACGGCGCCAAATTGATGATAGGATTTGTGTGTGGATGTGAAAAGAATGAAATGAGATGAGTGGAATGCAACAGTGGTAAATGATGGTGGTAAGATGCAAACACAAACACAGTCAACAATTCCCTTTAACCATCATAGTTGATGTAGTACAAAGGGTTATCAATCCAAAATGGGAAACTTGTCACTCTATGAGAAAATGAAACACAAGCAAATGCAATGAAATAGACATCATAAGAAAGAGGAGATGAAATTAAAGAACTTTTATTGAAATAAGCAAGTGCAAATACAAAGCAAATAATCCAGGATCTAAGATTCAAGAAGCAAGAGCTTCAAGAACACAAAGATGGATTAGGGTTGCTAAAAAGTAAAAGACAATAAAATTAAAAAAAGCTAAAACAAAGATAATCTAAAGCTTGTGTTTTTTCGTGGCTTAGAGCCTTTAAATACAAGAGGTTTTAGGTTTAGGGTCAAAGGGAAGTCAAGGGGGAAGCAACATTTTTCGGGTTTGACTTTGACTCCCCAGCTCGATCGAGTTGAAGCTTGGCCGGTCGAGTTGAGGAACTCGACCGGTTGGTCGAGTGGACGGTCGAGCTGGTCTTCAAGATGGCTTCTCCCTTCTTCCTTTGCGTGTCCAGTTGAGCTGCTTCCATGTGCCAAGTCCCTCCATGCTCCCTCCATGCTCCTCATGTCCAATATGCTCCAGAATGCTCCAAAAGACCTATTTCAAAGGGCCAAACATGCATATGTATGCAAATGCAACCTAAAACTAACATGAATGCATAAGAAGAGAAAAGGAACAAGATATGATGCAAATGGAAGCTAAAACTATGCAAAAGATGCATAAAAGATGTGCTAAAACTATGTAAAATGCAAGTACATCATCTTCCCATCTTCGTACTTGGTGGGGAACAAGGTCATAGTGAGCTGAGATGGCTTGACTGAAGGGGCTTGAGCTGGTGGGTCCTTTATTTTATCACCTGGTCTTGCCTTAGAGGCTACGTCCTCCCCTTCTTTTAGAGCTCTTCCTAGTGGCTCATCAAGTCAACCTAAGATCGGATTACTAGATGCGCGGTAAAGCAATCAGCATTAGTTAGGTGAACAAGACGAGACAAAGACTCTAAGATAATCCCTAGCTAAACATCGAAATCAAAGATCATGCAAGCAACTCATTGAATAGTAACCCTAGCAACCTAACTAGTGGATTACTCAGACATGATCAAAGCAATAACACATTAAGATGAAGAAAACATGATTGAATAAATCTTTAAGTATGAAAAACGTGATACAAAAGCGGCAATCTCTCAGGAGGCTAAAATGTTGTATTTATAGTGCTAGGTCTTCTGAGGCGGCATTAGGTTAAGTCGGGCCGTGAAAACGGGCTTCAAAACGGGTTTCGGGTCGACCGGACCGTTCCGACGGTCGGTCGGGACGATCGGCCGGCTATCGGGTCGTGGTCAGGCTATCGACACGGTCGGGACGATCGTGGCCGAGAGTTTTCGCGTTTGGCCGACGGGGTCGGACGGATGGATGATTTGGCCGAAGCTTCTGGACCGGTCGGGGGACGAAGCCTTCCTGGTCGGACGGATGGATCGGCCGCGGGACGTGATGTGTGCAGTGCGGCCGCAAGACAGTGCTTCCTGGTTCGCGCTGCGCGGTCGTGCGCGGATTATGGTGGTGAGGCTGAAACGGCTCGACCGCGGGACGATGCTTTCCGGATCGGTACGTGAGCTCAGCCGTGCACTTGGCGGGATGGCGCGGATGTTGTGCGCGGGACGATCGCGGTACGTTCGTTGCTCGATCAGCCGGTGTGCGCGGTTCAGGACGCGAATGCTCGATAAGGCCGTCTAGACCAGGCTTCACTAATTTGATCATAACTTCATTTCTACTCATCCAAATGATGCCAATCCAATTGCGTTCGAGAGTTAACTCACTCAGAGCACGCAGGGAACTGGTCTTGATGAAATCTATTGAGTAGATCGTTTTCTGGGTCTTCTCAAAGTTGATGCTTCGGTATTGAGCGGCTTGAAGCGCCAATCCTATGGTTTTGCTTCAAAATGCATCATTTCACCTGTTTAGACTCTTAAGTAATATAAATCCAATAAAATTACCTTTTTAGATAGAAAACCTGCCAAAAACCATTAGAAAACCATACTAAATTAGTATAAAAAGCATGTAAAATAGAGGTATATCACCTCCCCTAGACTTTAAAAAGCTATTGCTCTACTGCTTTATTTACTTTCTGCATTTCATTTCTGTTCATTTAGGTTGTTAGTGTTACCAAATCTTTACTGCTTGCTTGACTTCCTGGTTGTTTCATATTCTCATAGAGTGACAAGTTTCCCATTTTGGATTGATAACCCTTTATACTACAACTATGATGGTTAAGGGAATTGTTGACTGTGTTTGTGTTTGCATCTTACCACCTCATCATATACCACTGTTGCATTCCACACATCTCATTTCATATCATTTCACATCCACACACAAATCCTATCATCAATTTGGCGCCGTTGCCGATTTGGGAATATTTTTGTTGCATTTGAGTTTCAAACACACTTGGACGATCAAGCTATACCACCCCTGTTCTATTGTACTGCTGGGTTTTTGTCTCTTTTTGCAGGTGTATGCGAACTCGATCGAGTCGGTCTACAGAGACTTGGTCGAGCTAGACTTACAACGGGTAGAAAGAGGGTTCAGAGGTCACAGAGGGTACAAGAGGAACCTGAGGTGCTTGTTGCTGATACAATGGATGTACCAGAGGGGAATGGAAACCCTTTGGGCAATGGACTCGGTCGAGCTAGGCAAACTCGACCGATTGGTCAAGGAGATGCTCCAAACCGCCACCAACAGAGACAAGGGATTGTTCCACCACCAGTGCAGAACCACAACTTTGAGATCAAGCTGGGAATGATCAACCTTGTCAGAACAAGATGTTCCATGGATTGCCAAGTGAAGACCCCATTGACCACCTTGATGAGTTTGATAGGCTTTGTGATTTGACAAAGATCAATGGTGTCTCTGAAGATGCCATCAAGCTGAGACTCTTTCCTATGTCTCTAGCTGACAAAGCTCACCAATGGGAGAAGAGCTTGCCCCATGGCACAATCACCACTTGGGATGAATGCAAGAAGGCCTTTCTTGCTAAGTTTTTCTCCACCGGTCGCACAGCCAAGCTTAGAGGAGAGATATCCAGCTTCATCCAGCGAAACAATGAGACATTCGCAGAGGCTTGGGAGAGGTTCAAAGGCTACACAAGTCAGTGCCCACACCATGGATTCAACAATGAATCACTACTCTCCACTCTTTATAGAGGATGCTTGCCTAGGTATAGGGAGATGCTAGACACAGCTAGCAATGGGAACTTCCTCAACCAGGATGTAGATGATGGCTGGCAACTTGTGGAGAACATAGCTAACTCAAATGGAAGCTATGGAGAAGAGTATGATCGCACCAACCGGAGCTCGACCCACCACTCGATCGAGTCAGACGAAAAGTTGAGAAAAGATGTTAAGGCATTGAATGAGAAGTTGGATAAGCTGATCTAGCTCAGTCCACAATGAAGAAAGTCAACTTTGTGTCTGCTGAGGAGATGGAACCAGTCCAAGAAGGGGAGGATACACAATTTGCTGAGGTGTGCTACATGAGCAATGGGCAAGGAGGTTACAACAAAGGATACTATAATTACAAGTCCAACCCTGCCATGTCATACCGCAACACTGATGTTGCTAACCCTCAGGACCAAGTATATCCTCAACAACAAGCAGCTCGATCGAGTCAGGTGCCACAACATGGGTATGGTCAAAAGAACAATTACCAAGGACCACAAGGCACTTTCCCTGGACAACAAATGAATATCCCACCAGGCTTTCCCCACCAACCACCCCAGCCTGCACCTTCACAAGAGAATGAGCTCAAGGCAATGCTAAAGCAACTACTTCAAGGGCAAGCTGATGGGGTAGTGGACACAAGCAAGAAGCTAGCTGAAATAAACTCCAAGATCGAGAATCTCAACACAAGGGTTTACTCTCTGGAGAATCATGCTTCTTCTGTTGCTGCTGCTACAAAGCAAGGACAACTACCTGGTAAAGCTATTCAGAACCCCAAGGAACAGTGCAAGGTCATCTTCACTCAAGAAGGACTTGTTGAAGAAGAGGATCAAGAAAGGGTCATTGAAGATTTTTGTTTACTGCTGAATGATGAAGAGATTGTTGCTGCTGAGGCTCCTGGAGTCCAGATTGATCAACCAGAAGTGCAGGCACCTACTGTGGCCATTCACACTTCACCAGTTGAGCTCGCACAACAAGCTCGATCGGCAGCTCGATCGAGTCGAACTCTAGCTCGATCGAGTCCGACCTCTTCTGTCCCAAACCATTTTGCTTGATCCTTACCAACCGGTTGCCGCTTCCTCGTCTCGCCTACTTAGTCAAGGTCACAAGGAAGTGATTCACAAGTTCAGAAGAGATCTCAGTGGGATTGGAATTGAGTTGCCTCCTATGGATAGCATGAGTGAGGCATTTGATCAAATGCAAATGGTCAAGGATGTTCTAGCCAACAGTGATAAAGTTTCAGAGGTCCTGAAGAGTCTACTCATCAGTTCAACCTGCTTACTTCACCCACCTTCCTACCAAAGGTCAAGGATCAAGGGAAATTCACTCTCCCTTGCACACTTGGGCATCTTGAGATTGACAATGCCTTAGTGGATTCTGGAGCAAGCATCAATCTGATCTCTCTCTCCATGGCAGAGAAGCTAGGCATTGCTGGAGCCTTGCAGCGCCCTACTACTTCAATCATGTTTGGAGATGCAACTTCTAAGTCTCCTCTTGGAGTGTTCAAGAACTATCACTTGAAAATTGGAGAATGCATCATCCAAACTGATCTCACTGTGATGGAAATGGAAGAAGAGAAGGATCTACCTCTGTTATTGGGAACCCCATTCCTTAGTACAGTTGGCGCTTCAATAGACTTTCACAAGCAAGAAGTGATCCTTCACAAGGTGAATAGTTTGGTGTCATATCGCTTGCAGCCTAGAGGTTCAGACTTTTGTGCCACAATTGACAGTACCACTCTCAGTTCTAAGAGTCATGAGCTACAAAGGTTGTGAAGGAAAGGGTTGACAAAGAACCAAGAGTTGGGAAGGATAAGGTTGAGAGAGGACCAAGGATTGAGAAGCCACGTCTTGAGAGGGCTAGAGTTGAGAAACCACGTTCTGATAGACCACGAGCTGATAGACTTGTTCAAGCCCCTTGTGTGCTTGATGAAGAGAGCCTTCAAGCTTTGTTTGATGAGCCACTAGGAAGGGCTCTAAAAGAAGGGGAGGATGTAGCCTCTAAGGCAAGACCAGGTGATAAAAGAAAGGATCCACCAGCTCAGGCCCCTTCAGTCAAGCCATCTCAGCTCACAATGACTTTGTTCCCCACCAAGTTTGAAAATGGGAAGATTGAGTACAAGATAAGGTACAAGGGGAGATCAAGGCCATTCTCTAGAGCCAAGGCCTTGGTGACTTCAGAACAATCCAGGGACCCAACCAAGCTAAAGGAGCTTCTGTCTCAAGTCCTCACTATCACCCTTGATGGTGGGACTAGCTCAACCAATGCCTAAGAAGGTAAAGGTCAAGCTATGGGACCTTAAACAAGCTCACTTGGGAGGAAGTCCCATGTTTATCCTTGTACATATTCTATTTATGCAATTTCTATCTATTTTGTGTTTTAACCTTTCAATAAGTTAAGTTTAGGTGACAAAGGAGCCAGCTCGACCGACAGCTCGATCGAGCTAGAAACCAGGGCAACTCGATCGAGTTCCACAACTCGACCGAGGTAAGTTTTTGAATTTCAAATTTCTAACCGTTTTCTTGGTCAAGGGAGTGGGTCCCACAAGTTAATTTTGGTCCCCCACTCCTAATTGATCAGAAAAACCCTAGCTTTTGTCCCCTCTTTATTTCATCTTTTAATCTCAACCACACATCTCAAACACTCCCTCTTCCCCATAACTCGATCGAACCCACTTCTCCACTCTCCCACACTTAAAATTTCTGAAACTCATCTCTCTCTCTCATCACCACAAGAAAAATTTCGAATTCTCTCTTTCTCTCTTAAGTTTTTGCGATTTCTCTTGTTCTTCATTGTTTTGCTTTGGGTTTTAGTTTACTGCTCTTCAATTCATCATTCAAGCAAGGTATGAACCCTAAAACCCTTGATTCCTCCATCTCGATTTCCATTATTGCTTGTTTCCTCTTTGATTTTTGATTGCATGTGTCCCTTGTGGACTTGTTCTTGAGTAATTGCTCATATCTTTCTTGCTCATATTTTTTGAATTTGCCTCACCTCACCTCTGTTTTGCCTTTAAACTTGTTGCATGTGCTTGAAAATTGAATTTGAGTTTGGTATTGGTTAAGATGCTTATGCTTCACTAGAATTGCTCATTGTTCCATTTACTAGTTGTTCTTGGTTCAATTTGATTGATTAGCATCCTTTCCAGCTCTTAATACTTGAATTAGGTTCGGTTATACTCTGTTTTCACCTAGCTCGATCGAGTTTGTCACTCGAGTTTTTTGACTCGATCGAGCTGAGTGTCGAGTTGACCAAACCGATCATTACAACTCTAATTCTTTGTAATCTTTGATGCATTTCAGGTACTTTAGTGAAGAAACAGTGTAACAGAGATGACAAACAGTGAGGGAAGTCGCGCTTCACAGAGGAGAATGGTTGAGGGTGAATCAAGCAATGCAAGGGAAAGAAGGCTTAAGATGCAAGCCGATTTGGAGAGGATGATCAAAGGATGGAAGAGTCTGATGCAGAGGAGTATGTGTACTCTGAGGAAGAGTCTGAGAGTGAGAGATTGAGGGAGGAGAGGAGGACCAAGAAGAGGAATGACCCCATTAGTAGTGAGAGTGAGCAAGGGGAGTTTGAGATTGGAGTGAACCTTGTTCAAGAGGAGGGAAATGGCTCTCCAAGTGAAGAAGGAAGTGATGAGACTGAGAGTGAAGAGGAAGGAGAAGAGGTGAATCAGTTGATGAAGAGAGTAACCAAGATGAACCTATGGAGGAGGTTGAGCCACAAGAGAGCAAGAGGAGGAGAAGAACTCCCTATGTACCAAGAGCACTACAATGCTCTCTTCTCCATGGACTTTATGGAGACCAAGTACCCACATGTTGACACAATGAAGGCCCTTGGAATCTTTGAAGATGTGGAGCTTTCTCAAGAACATGCACTTGGCCAAGCTTTTCTCTTATCACATGGAATCCTACAAGGAGCTCACTTGCGAGTTCTTAGCTTCAATGAGGTACCACATGTACGATGAGGAAGATAGAGCTGATTTGGACCAAGGATTGGGATGGATCACGTTCTTGGCTAAGGGAGAGAAGAGAATGGTGACCTTTAGGCAGTTGGAGATCTTGTTTGGGTTCAACTATGGAGAAGGTACCAAGTGGAACTTCAAGGAAAGGAACTCCAAAGGGTTTGGGCTACAATCGCTGATGGAGTGTACTCTTCCTCAAGGTCCAAGGCAGCTCAGATCAGGAGCCCAGTGCTTGAGGTATGTGCACAAGGCACTTGCCAACACCTTCTTTGCAAGGAAGGCGACCGGGACAATCAACGAGGGGGAACTCAAGTTTCTTGACATGGGAATCAAGCCCATTCTCTCACGCACAAGCGATGGCAAGAGGATCAGGGGAGATAGATCTGACACAGGAACTTGATGCCTTCCTTGACCATCTCCTCACCTACAAGACCACAGCCTACAACACTAGACATCAACGAGGAAGGCGCTAAGTGTTGGAGGGCTCATCACTCCTATCTTGTGTGCTGCTGGAGTGAACCCAACTGATAGGAAGCCACTGAACCAGGTTGGATGGACATCAAGTTTTGCAAGACCAACCTCTCATTGAGCACAAGGAGTTGGATGGGAGGTTCCAATTCAAGTTCACCATCCATTGGCTGGCCCTCCAAGCTTCTCCTGCCCAACCCAGAGCTCACCACAGTAGTAAGGGGTGAGAACATTGACTTCAGACCCCCTGTGTACACATTAGTTGGGCATGAGGATGATTTGCGAGAAGAGGAGCCTGAGCTCGATCGAGCTGAGGATCGAGCTGAGTCTCAAGCTGAGGATCAGTCCAGGAGAGTGCGGATTTGGGTGAGCCTGAGTGCTATTATTTTGAGGAGTATGAGGCTCCAAGGATGAACCCCTCTGTTGTGGCTGCCCACAAGAGGATTGGACTTCTCCAAAAGTTCAACAAATGGCAAGGGAAAGCCATTGAAAGATGCAAAAGTCCATGGACAAGATGGTGAGCAAGATCAAAAGTTTGGAGAAGAAGGTTTCTGGTTCTTCAAGCAAGAAGAAGAAGGTCCAATGGCCCCCACATTCCTAGGAGTAGATCACTTCCTCACCACTCCAAGGAGGCTCCCTGCCCAAGAGCCTCACAGAGCCTCTTCTTTCGAGCCAAGGGAAGGAGAAGACAACTCGCAGAGAAGGAGGAAGACTTCCAAGGCCAGACGCTCCAGCTCGACCACCGGACTCGATCGAGTCCAAACAGAGGAAACTCAACTCGATCGAGCTGACGGTCGAGTTGACCTGGAGGAGCCCCAGTTTGAGATCCGGGATTTGAGTACGATCCAACGCCTTACCAGGACTTCCCCAGTAGATGGAACCCCTATGGACAGTCGAGCAAGCCAGCTCCACCAAGGCCAAGGGAGCCACACACACTTTCGATGAAGAAGAGGAAGAAGAGGAGCCGCAAGCTCGATCGAGTGAGGCGACCCAGTCGAGTGGAGTGCTCCTGATGGCCGTCTACCATCTCCAGACCACGACCTGCCTCCCAGTTCTTTGGGGGGCACTGAGGTATCCAAACACCAACCCTTGTATATACCATTTCATATTTTCTTGCTTTGTTTTTTTCTTGGTTTTGCCCTCTTGAATCTTTCACTAAATTTTCTCACACAAGGGACTGTGTGATTTAAGTTTGGGGGAGGGTTCAAGAGATGATTTAACCTTGTTTTCTTTGTTCTTAGTTTTTCATTCATCTTTTGCATAGAAAAACCAAAAAAATCATAAAATTTTCAAAAAATCCAAAAATATTTTCATCTTTTTGCATTCATATTTGTTAGACTTGTTTAGGATTGCATTTTCACTTGCATTGTTGATTTGACTTTGAAAACTTGTCCATCTTTTGCGATTTCTTGAGTGCCCTGTTTTTAGATTCTTTTGTGCATTAGGGTGAGATTGATTGAGCAGCAAGAACCATGTTTATCTTGATCATATCACTGCATGCACATCTCATTCAACCATTGCTGTGATTTGATGCATTTCCCTATCTATTTGAACCATAACTTGATCTTTAATTACCAATGCTTGCATTTGATTTCAACTCATGGCTACCACATACATATCTGGACATTCTTTACCATTTTCATATCCCTTTGCTTGTCCAGATAGCTGATCTCTATCTTTGAGACAGTTACCACACCTTAAACCTAAGCCTTTTCATTTCAAACCCCATATTATCTCTTGTGCGAATGTGAGAACCTTTCTTGGCTTTGCTTAGCATAAGGTGTTGTGTTTAAACCGGCAGGGGCAGTAGTTCTAGTTGTCTAGTTCTCTTGGGATTGTTTTCAGGCTAAGTTTGGGGGTGCCAACTCGAGCTCGATCGAGTTGGGTGTAAAAACCAGAAAAGTGGTAAAAGTTGGGAAAATCCAAAGGAAAAAGAGTTTAGTTAAGTCCAGGGAGTTGGCAGTGTTAAAAAGGGTCTAGTAAAGGTTTGGGAAGTTAAAAAAGGAAGTAAAAAGGGTTCTAAGTAGAATGAAAAGAAGGCAAAGCCTCAAGTGTCAAAAAGAAAGAAAAGTTCCCTAAGTGTTTAGAAAATCCCAAACCGCTAGATGTTACCTCAAGAAGCCTCTCCCTAGGAAGTTCTTAAAAGAAAAGTGAGCAAAGCTCCTCAGTTTCAAAGGCGAAATGCCAAAAAGGGTAGTTAGGATTTTGTTCTAAAAAGCTCTAAGTGTTGAACTCGATCGAGTTAGGATTAGGCGGCTCGAGCTGCTGTTCTTGCATCATCTTTGGTTCTAACACTTAGCCTTCTGCCAAAGCAAAGCCACTTTCTTGAGAGATCCCTGTTACTAAACCACCATACAAAAGAGACCCTCTTTGTCTCTTAACCCATAAACCCTTGAAACCAAATGAGTTGATTGATCTTGCATGTTTTTGGTTCACTGTTTTTGCTTAATGAATGTTAAAGGGATTTGCTGATTTGAATGCATTGTTTGAGTGACTGTGAAGTGGGATTGATGTTGATAAGCATGGTTAAATCTTAAGTTGGCATTTAGAATCTCAACCTGTTTTCAAACCTCATCTCTTTCTTGTTCTATTTGTTTGCTTGAGGGCAAGCAAAGTTCAAGTTTGGGGGTGTTGATGTACTTGCATTTTACATAGTTTTAGCACATCTTTTATGCATCTTTTGCATAGTTTTAGCATCCATTTGCATCATATCTTGTTCCTTTTCTCTTCTTATGCATTCATGTAGTTTTAGGTTGCATTTGCATACATATGCATGTTTGGTCCTTTGAAATAGGTCTTTTGGAGCATTCTGGAGCATATGGGACGTAAGGAGCATGGAGGGACTTGGCACATGGACGCAGCTCAACTGGATACGCAAAGGAAGAAGGGAGAAGCCATCTTGAAGACCAGCTCGACCCTACTCGACCAACCGGTCGAGTTCCTCAACTCGACCGGCCAAGCTTCAACTCGATCGAGCTGAGAAGTCAACAGTCAAACCCGAAAAATGTTGCTTCCCCCTTGACTTTCCTTTGACCCTAAACCTGAAAAGAGTCTAGGAAACAAACTAAATCAAAAGGGAAAACAAAAGCAAAAGCAAAAACCAAAATAAAAGAAATCAAAAACTGAAAATTCAAAAGCAAAAACAAGCAAGAAAATTAAAGGTTCTAGACTAGATCCTAGTCGAGATTCAAAGGTACTGCTGCAGTCCCCGGCAACGGCGCCAAAAACTTGATGTGAGTCAGGTTTTACCAAACTCTTAGACCTCTGCAAGTGCACAGATCGCGGAAGTATGGGTATCGAACACAAGGACTGGCTATTGAGTACACTTTGAAACTATGGATTTTGGATCAAGCTAAAACAAAAGTATGATTGGAGGTTGTAATGTAACTAGAACTAGCAAGTAATAGGTTGTAAATCAATAAGGAAGAAGCGCTAGGTCAACAGGGGCTAATCGCAGAGAAGCAAGCAATGATCAATGAAACAATGATAGATGAATTGATTAGGGATATTGGGATATTAAAACCGTCTAGAACACAGATCACGAATATAAAACCATTCCACTTTCGAGGCTCCGGTTCCTTTGTTAATCTACCTAGTCGCTAAACTTTTGGTATGTCTCTAGGTGATTAAATCAAGCATTAGATCGAGCAGGTTCCGATACAGTTCACAGTAAGCAGTCTAAGAAACCTAGCTTGTCAAAGAATATGTCCGGCGAATGATACAACACTTTCGAGGCTCAAATCAACCTAAGATCGGATTACTAGATGCGCGGTAAAGCAATCAGCATTAGTTAAGTGCACAAGACGAGACAAAGACTCTAAGATAATCCCTAGCTAAACATCGAAATCAAAGATCATGCAAGCAACTCATTGAATAGTAACCCTAGCAACCTAACTAGTGGATTACTCAGACATGATCAAAGCAATAACACATAAGATGAAGAAAACATGATTGAATAAATCTTAAGTATGAAAAACGTGATACAAGCGGCTCTCTTCTCAAGAGGCTAAAAAGTTGTATTTATAGTGCTAGGTCTTCAGAGGCGGCATTAGGTTAAGCCGGGCCGTGAAAACGTGTGAAACGGGCTTCAAAACGGGCTTCGGGTCGACCGGACCGTTCGGACGGTCGGTCGGGATGATCGGCCCTTAGAAAGAAAGAAAGACTTATCCTGTGGTTGAAAGAAAGGTCAATAGAAAAAATAAAATGATACCCTAGAAAAGTAGGGAGAAATTGACCTTTCAAAGTTCTGATGTGAGAAAGAGAGAGGAAAGGAACTCATTGCACTCAAAGACAATCTTGGAGAAGATCAAGTGGGTAAGAACAAGTTCAATTGATCGATTTTCCCTTGATAAAGAACTCACGCTTTAAATTTCTGCAAGAGGTTAACAATAGAGAGTTTGGATTGCTGGATGAGACTAGTTGGGTTGGTAATGTTGCTAAACTTGCAGGGTGTATGTGAAGCTAACCTTATGTTGACTATGTTCTTAGTGGAATACAGGAAAGGAACCTTTCACAGGATTTTCAAAGAAGCAAGAGAGTTCCCACGTTTTTCAAAACCTCTTCACTAGTTTAGATTCTTTTTGCTTGGGGACAAGCAAAGATCTAAGTCTGGGGGAGTTGATATACCTCTATTTTACCTACTTTTTATGCTATTTTACTATGGTTTTCTAATGGTTTTCTAGTGGATTCTTGTGTTAAAAGGTAGTTTTTATGGATTTATAGTGCAAAGAGTCATTTTAGGTAAAAAGGTGCATTATGGAGCAAAACAGGAGATTTGGACTCTAAACCAGTTCAATGCCCCTGCATCAACTTTGGATGGAGCTAGAAAAAGATCTACTCAATGGATTTCATCAAGACCAGTTCCCTGCGTGCTCTGATTGAGTTAACTTTCCAACGCAACTGGAATGGCTTCATTTGGATGAGTAGAAAAGGAGTTATAGCCAAAAGAGTGAAGGCTGCTCCAGACGGCTATATCGAGAATCAGCGCCCGAACGCGCAGTCCGGCTGGCCGAGGAACGAATGTTCCGCGCTCGGCCAAAACCGTATTCCGTCCGACTGAAGTCTCGGCCAAAGTCCAAACCATCGGCCGATCACGCAACGACCCGGGAAACATTGTCCCGCGGTCGGCCAAGCCAAGCTCACGCCACGCCGCGCACGACCAAGCGCGCGAGCCGGGAAACAAGCCTCGCGGCCGCGCAACCCGTTCCGCGTACCACGGCCGATGCATCCGTCCGAGCCGGGAAAGAACGTCCCACGTCCGGCCGAGAAACCATCGGCCAAATCTCCTCCGCCGACCAAGCCGGCCGACCATGAAACATCCGGCCACGACCGTTCCGACTCGGCCAAGACCCGACTGTCCGGCCGATCGTCCCGACCGACCGTCCGAACGCCGCGGTCGACCCGAAGCCGTTTTTGAAGCCCAATCCGCACAATTCAAGCCCAAAGCCGGCGCCGACCTAGCTAGATTAGGTTTAGCCGCCTTCATACTTAGAGCATTATAAATACTTCTTTTTAGCCTTGTAACTCAAGAAGGAGAGAGACCACAATCTATTTTACATCTTAATAAAGTTTTGCTTGCTTTTACTTTGTTCTTGCTTGTTACTCTTTCTAGAGAGGATTCGAATCTCTGTTCTTATGAATATGAATTCGTGTTCCTTCTCTATGTCTGAGTAGTTTACTTGTTAAGTGATAGGAAGTCAAAGGATAGCATTCATGAATGCTTGATGATTGATCACAATTAGGGTTTTACTTATAATCTCCATCTTTGCTTATACTTAATGCTTGTTGTTAATCTGGCCAATTAGCATATGCCTTTAGGTTGATTTGAGCCTCGACAGTGCTGTATCATTCGCCTGAACTAGTATTTGGTGGGCAATCTCTTTTAGACTGCGACAGTTGATCTACTTGTAGGTTGTGAACAATTGATCTTGATCGAACTAATGCTTGATTTAATCACCTAGGGACATACCAAAAGTTTAGCGACTAGGTAGATTAACAAAGGGGTCGGAGCCTCGACAGTGGAATGATCATACCATAGTGTTTCAAGTTCTAGATTAGCACCTAAGTGCGGTAACCCTAATTGATTGATTTCATGCTTCTTGAATTGCTTATCTCAAGACTATCCTATTGCTTAGCCTTTCTCTCCTATTGAATTCTCACTTTTAATTACTTGCATGCTTTACTTTCTCTGCACTCAACCAACTTATACTTTTGCCCTAGCTTGTTCTCAAACTCATAACTTGTAGTGTGCAATCTGGTCCTTGTGTTCGATACCCGTTTACTACTTCTGACCTGTGCACTTGCAGAATCAGGGATAGGAAAGGGGAAGACCTGATCCCGCGATCAATAGGCGCACCACAACTTGCTCCGAATTCAGGCATGAAACAATATGCCCTTACTTGTAGAACCTCAACAAACCCATCCAGGACATACCCGGACTTCCATAGTTCTTCTTATTTGACGGCTTCAATCAGGTTCTTGAAAGCTATGATATCACATATTTTACATGATTTTACTATATAATATTATGTTTTCAAACGGTTTTTGCAAGATTCTTTGCCTTTAGAGGTAGTTTTCTTGTATTTGTGGGATTTGAAGTCTTTGTAGGTGAAACCATCAAAAAGGATGCAAAAAGGAGTAAAAGAGCCCTAAACCAAGATCCATGCAAGTTTCCAAGTCAAGAAGATCATTTTATCTCCAAGTGTTAGTTCTCGCTAGCGCGCAGAACGAAGCTTCGGAAGTTTGGCCGCGCGCGGAGGAGTTCCCGACGTCCAAAAGTTACGATCTTGATATGGAAAGATAGATACTTGAGTCATGCATCACGTCGAAGTGGAATGAAGCCATTTGGATCAACTATGAGGCCTAGACTTATTTTCTACCGAGACATGTCCGGTAAGCGAGCAAACGAAGCCCATGGAGGATTTGGAGTGTCTAATGGCCCGAGCAGCAGCGCCAAAGGCCTTGATCGAATAGAGAAGAGGCCTGGCTAATGTTTGGAGCTTTCCTTGGTACAATGTCGGCCCATACACGACGTGGAGAAGAAGGCTTTGCTCGGGAAACTTTCCTTTTCCGGCATGAAGAAAACCCTACGCGACTTCGCCCATATATACATGTTTTTAGCCGCTGAAGAAGAGATCGAGCGTGTGAGTTTGTGAAAGAGAGTCAGAGAAGAGAGAGAGAGAGAAGCCCTAGGAGATCGTCCAAGAAGAAGGAGGCGCCGCTCAACTCTTGTTCTTTCTTTTTCATTGTTTCCATTTCCTTGATCTTAAGAGTTTTCAAGGGAGAATCCGACTTTGTTCATCAATAGAGAAGCTTTCTTCATCCCTTTATCTCTTTTAATACTTGCATAATGTTTACAATCATGCTTTGCTTGCTTGTTTGCATCATGGCCGAGTAGATCTCTTAGTTAGGCCGAGGAGATCTATGGTGGCCGTGATGATTTGATTGTGTTGCAACTTATTGGGATTTATCTTATGGATCTTCACCTTTACTTGAGCTTAATGCATGATTACTCTACCGTACATCTAGTAATCTGATCTTAGAGAAATAGAACCACGACAGTGCTGAATCTAGATCTCAAAACTAGTATTTGGTGAGCAATAGATCATAGCCAACGAAAGCTGAGTTATGGTTTATTGTGAACAATTGAATCTTGATCACCTTTAATGCATGTTTGCAATTCTAATAGCCAACGAAAGCTGAGTATATTAGGTTGTTTTAAACATAGTGGTTGGAGCCACGACAGTGGAAAGACCATACACTAGTGATTCATGTTCAAGACGGCTCTACACACATCCCATGCAACTATCTTTTCATCATTGCTCCATATGATTGTCCTTTGCCTAACTCTTGTTTTAAATTGTTTACAACCTCACTCACATTTCTTTTGTTTTGCTTTCTCATTCTAGGTCCAAAACCATCCATATTGCGAGCTAGCTACAAACCAATCTCACAAGGTGTTAAGCGAGAACACTTCCTCCTCGTGTTCGACCCCGACTACAACACGGCTGTGCACTTGCAGCTCATTAGTTGGGTTTATAAATTGTGAAAATTTGAGGCAATCTAAACCCGCATCAAGCTACACGCCCCCACGGATAATTCTCAAACTCCTCTTCATCCATCACTAATCTGGCCAGGTTCACAGGAGTGTGCGAGGTGTTTTTCCGAGCAGCAATGAAGCCAGTATAGATGGCCAAGTAACCAAGCCTAAGTTTGTCCTCACTCGGCCAGTCTGTTGCCCATTCGCATGCACGAATGAGCTCCACTTGACTCGGACCAAGCTCAACACCTACTCCGAGCTTCTCCCAGAATGCTCTCATCTCTAGAGTAACCTTGCACTTGGGGTCACCAAGATCCTCCACATAGTCGCAGTTGAGGCCGGTGAGATGTTCAAACTCATGGAGGGAAAATCTAATTGGGCTATCCGCAACCGCACACCAGATCTCATACTTCTTCTTGCACTCTAGCTGATATGAGAGCATCGTGTGAACCAACTTCGAAGACCACTCGAATTTGAGGTCGTGAAACTTGCAGAAGACACCAACTCGCGAGTCGCATAGTGTTTCCCACTCGGCATCACTCAGTAGTTTTTTCACTGCGGCAAACAGCTCTTTTGGGCATCCGGTTCAGCTCCTCTTGTGTATAACCTCCTTGGAAAGGTAGGCTTCTCCATTCTGCAACAACCAAAAGGAAAATCAAAGAAGGCAACACAAAAGTCTACCTAAAGGTCTACCACAAAGGTCTACCAAAAATGTCTACCACAAATGTCTACCACAAAGGTCTACCCTAAGAGAAATCAGAAAGACGAAAAGAAGAAGAAATCGCGGTGGAGGCGGAGGAATCAGAAAGAAATACAGATATGAGTTGTAGAGGTTATGTTATAGATTATAGTTGTACCTCTCGGAGAAAACGACAGTTGTAAGCGCTTATCGCAAAGCAGCGGGGACGATATCTGAAACGAGATCTAATGACAAAAAAGACACATGAGTTTGGTGATATTATATGTGGTTATAATCCTTTGTTTGCTTTTGTGTTTGGTCTTGTCCAGCAGGTTTGTTGGTGACAGCGCCCATTCATTATCCTCCAACGCCAATACTGATATACCTCTATTTTACTACTTTTTATGCTATTTTACTATGGTTTTCTAATGGTTTTCTAGTGGATTCTTGTGTTAAAAGGTAGTTTTTATGGATTTATAGTGCAAAGAGTCATTTTAGGTAAAAAGGTGCATTATGGAGCAAAACAGAGGATTTGGACTTCAAACCAGTTCAATGCCACTGCATCAACTTTGGATGGAGCTAAAAAAGATCTACTCAATGGATTTCATCAAGACCAGTTCCCTGCGTGCTCTGATTGAGTTAACTTTCCAACGCAAGTGGAACGGCCTCATTTGGATGAGTAGAAAAGGAGTTATAGCCAAAAGAGTGAAGACTGTCCAGCGGCTCTATCGAGAATCGCGGCCAAGCCGTGCAGAGCGGCCGGCCGAGGAACGAATGTTCCGGCTCGGCCAAAATCTCCGTCCATCTCGGCCAAAGTTCAACCGTTCCGGCCGATACGCATCACGACCCGGGAAACAATGCCCGCGGTCGGCCACGCCACACCACTCACGATGCCGCGCACGACCATGCCGCGCGAGCCGGGAAGCAACGCCTCGCGGCCGCGCAACCTACTCACGTACCACGGCCGATGCGCCGTCCGAGCCGGGAAGCCACGCCCGTCCGGCCGAGAAACCATCGGCCAATCCTTCACCGTCCGACCACAGCCGGCCGACCGAGAAATCATCCGGCCACGACCGTTCCGACACGACCACGACCCGATGTCCGGCCGACCGTGTCCGAACGCCGCGGTCGACCCGAAGCCGTTTTTGAAGCCCAATCCGCACAATTCAAGCCCAAAGCCGGCGCCGACCTAGCTAGATTAGGTCTAGCCGCTTTTTCATACTTAGTGCATTATAAATACTTCTTTTTAGCCTTGTAACTCAAGAAGGAGAGAGACCACAATTATACTTTACATCTTTAATAAAGTTTTGCTTGCTTTTACTTTGTTCTTGCTTGTTCTCTTTCTAGAGAGGATTCGAATCTCTGTTCTTATGAATATGAATTCGTGTTCCTTCTCTATGTCTGAGTAGTTTACTTGTTAAGTGATAGGAAGTCAAAGGATAGCATTCATGTATGCTTGATGATTGATCACAATTAGGGTTTTACTTATAATCTCCATCTTTGCTTATACTTAATGCTTGTTGTTAATCTGGCCAATTAGCATATGATCTTAGGTTGATTTGAGCCTCGAAAGTGCTGTATCATTCGCCTGAACTAGTATTTGGTGGGCAACCTCTTTTAGACTGCGAAAGTTGATTTACTTGTAGGTTGTGAACAATTGAACTTAATCGAACTAATGCTTGATTTAATCACCTAGGGACATACCAAAAGTTTAGCGACTAGGTAGATTAACAAAGGGGTCGGAGCCTCGACAGTGGAATGATCATACCATAGTGTTTCAAGTTCTAGATTGGCACCTAATTGCAGTAACCCTAATTGATTGATTTCTTGCTTCATGAATTGCTTATCTTAAGACTATCCTATTGCTTAGCCCTCTTCTCCTATTGATTTCATTCTCTTTATTACTTGCATGCCTTTACTTTTACTGCACTCAACCAACTTATACTTTTGCCCTAGCTCGATCTCAATCTTATAGCTTGTAGTGTGCAATCTGGTCCTCGTGTTCGATACCCGTTTACTACTTCTGACCTGTGCACTTGCAGAATCAGGGATAGGAAAAGGGAAGACCTGATCCCGCGATCAAATACCACATCTCTCATTGGATGACTCTTTGTATTTGCAGATGAGATTGTTTCTCGATTTCCAGATTAGTCACATGATCCAAAAAAAGTAATCAACTTATGTTGTTTAGTACGACCACCACATCTTGAATATATTCTTGTGATTTAGAGCGATAACAAATATTTGTACATGAGAGCTGAGACCCTTTTTCCACTGGTATAACTGATTATGAGACACCTTAAATAACAAATATATATATACCTCAAGATATATGGAGCAAAGCCACCATTTTCATCAGTATTACGCCCTAATTTACCTATGTTTTCTGTAATGATAGCCATGTACTCTTAGAATCGAACGCCAAAGACGTTCTCTGTTCATAATAACAAATGTGATACATGACAAAACCAAATATATATCCCATAAAAAAAAATTCATATACCCAAAAGTTTAGAAGAACAAAGTCATTGAAGTAAATTATGTTCAGTCATTCGAAAATGTTGCAGACCTTTTCACAAAGTCACTAATCACCAATACCACCTAAACATTCATGAAGCTTGTCCACAATATTGGCATGCATCAACAACAAGGCCTATAACATGTCATTCCAATCAGTCAAGGGAGAACTATTGTAGTTGTACTCTTTTAACTTTTTATGGTTTTTTCGCATAGGATTTTTCTAGAAATTCTTTTACCGAAGCAACAAATGATTCATGGTGAAAAGGAAATAGAGTTGTTGGTCTGTAATCTACTATGTTGCACGGAACCGCTAATGAAGGAGTGTTTCACGTTTCAAAACGTTTTGGAATATTAAGGTAAAACCCATTAGATTTACAAGCAAACCATGATAAAAGCGCAGAAATTAATGTTAAAAACAGCAGAAACTAGGTTAAAAAATCGCAGAGCATAAGGTTGAAGATGAGGGTATTTTCGTAATTTCAATATTTATTTCCAAAAACGAAAAAGATAATAAAACGTGACCAGCCCTGGTCGAACTTGTGACATGCGCGTCGTTAGAGATGCTTGAAACCACTACACTAAACAACATTCGGGTAATATATTTACATATTTACTAAATATATGGCTTACGTTTCCAAAACGTTTCCATTCTCATATTTTTCAAAAAAGACGTTTCCCGTTTCCAAAACGTTTCGCTTCTGCGTTTCTATTTCCGTTTCCCTGCAACATAGGCAATCTCTATGGGAGAGAGTTGCTGTTTAAATGAGGCGTATTAAACAGAAAATGAGAGAGAGTGGATTCCATGCAACTATTCACTTATAATATAATTTGTCTAAATTCATATTATAAATACGGACATACACAATCGTTCTAAACTATGGCTCTGAATGGCGACATAAATGCGGTGTGGTTTTCCACTTATTAAAAAAAAAACCGCAAATGTCCACCAATCAAGAAATTTTAATATTATTTGCGTTTTTACGAAAAGTGAAAACAATATCCGCATACGCTTTTCGAGGCTCAATAATTACACAGTGGGCATGAAACCGCAGCGTAAACCGTGACCACATCTATTACCCAATGGTTTGCTCGAAAAACGCAAAAATCCAGCACATAAAAAAAAGAATTCTATTTATACCAACTCTCCTTTACCACGAAAATTCACTCTACTCCACTGAAATCAAACACACTCCTCCTTTAAAATCAAACACACTCCTCCATCACTCCTCCATTGAAATCAAACACTATCCTCTTCAAATTTTCAAATCAAATATATAAGTAATCTTTCAGCACAAAGAATTCATATAACCCTTTCTTATTTTCTCTTTGCAAGAAATTCATCATTTTAAGGTAATTTCCTAAAAAATATTTATACATTTTAATATTACAAAATGTAAGTTAGTTATTTCTTATTTTTATAAAATTCTTAATAAGTTGAAAAGTTAATCATAAAAGTTAGGGAAATTGCACGAAATGTACATGAATACTAATTATATTCACGAAAACTCTAAACCTTTTACTAATACATGATTCATAATGAAAAGTACTTACATTATACATTATAGATTGAGAACTAAGAGAGGAGATGACAAAACTATAAATACATATCTGATGAAGGTAAGACTCCACAGGGGTTGTAAAAGTATAATCAAATGTTTATAATGAATCATATATGCTTCTACCTTCTTCAATATTCTGCACTTTCACTTGATTCTTGCATCTTCCATTTGATTGCTCATCTTACATATAACAAATAAGGAATTAATCATAGTTAGCTGACAATGAAATATTATGATTTAGTTTCTTCATATTTAAATCTTTATTGAATTTTTGCTACCTATTTTTCATCATCTGCATCTCAGGTATGTTTGGATCAAACCAAAACCTAGACAATCCTCTCCCATCCACAATCACGATGTCCCCTATTTTTTTACATCTATGTTAGTTCAGATGTTGATATATAAATAAAACAGACGGATCAACAAAATAACTATATTAGACAAATAACATTCACCGTCTCATTCCGCAACTCTCCATTCACTTAGAACACAAACAATGTCGTCAGATCCATTGTGTTTCCATTTCTTGTACATATCCACAGCTAAATCTCCATGCGCAATGCAATAAAGTTCCTCGTTCCTTTTTGATACAAAAATATTAGAATATAGTTCTTGTTTATACACGCATATAGTTCAAATGTTTAGTAATCACCTCTCGTTCTTTAAATGAAAAGGAATTGATCTCACTTCCTCAGCGTCCTTGTTTGATGGTGAAAGTTTACCCATGTATCCAATCACTCCAATTAAATCTGCAAGAAAGGTAAAATACTCTATATTATTTCAACGAACTAATAAACGATGTTATTTATAGTCTATACTTGTAAATCACAAATAAAATATGTAACCAATCTAGATTAACCATACCAATTGGATACGCAATATTGTGTCCGCCAGGGATGACTCTTCCAAAGTCCACAAATTCGAAAAAATGTATGTTTGAAAGAGAAAAAAGAGGCGCAACTTCTGTTTACGCCTTAAAACGATCATGAAATCATGAGTTGTAATCATGAAATCATGAGTTGTAACCATGAACTTGTTGTCTAACCAATTATCACTTGAGACGATAAATTTGCTAATTTCCCACCATTCTCCTTCTGGTAAGGTCATGCGATAACTCTGGAAGTTGCAGTTATCTACCTTTGCATGTACTTTTGTACCCTGTCACCGAATATCTGGTTCATATCATATCTAAATATATCTAATGAAAATTTGATCATGCTAATATATCGTCTAATTAGGTACTTGGTATCTATCTCGGATATATAAACATAACTTACATGCTGATCGACTAAGATGTAATCGATGATCATCCCACCATCAAAGTTCCGTGTTTTCGACTTTCTGAAGATCTTAACGCTTATCGTGAGTGGATACTCCCATGGCAAAATTTTCTTCACAGTTCTGTATGTCACCATCGCGAAGAAGAAGATTGTAAGAGAGGATGGGAAGATTAAAAGTTTTTTTACAGATGTGTAAATTTGTGAGAAGTTGTGTTGTTTCAAGAACGAATCATTATATATATGTCCAACTCCTTTCAATTCTTTATGTATTCGAAAATACGAATACTAACCAAAGACATCATGATGATAACCGTGTCGAACCGTATATATTCTATATCGAACATTAAAAACAGACTTGTTATTATCAATATTTCCAGTAATCATAACGGCGCGGACTATTATTATTGAATATATTTTAATGTGATATATGGTACGTTTTCGATATTTTTATTAGGATACGATGTTTATTAAATAATATTATAAGCAGTTTGCCAAAATGTATCTGTAAAAAAGTGGATGTATCTGGATGCAATAATGTCCAGATACATCCACTTTTTTGCAGATACATTTTGGCAAACTGCTTATAATATGGGACAGAGGGAGTATCCCTAACCTCTATTCTATCTTTCTATTAATTCGGAATATCATAAACTTATATATAGATATTTACATATAATATAAGGAAGGGTTACTACGTTTAGCCATATATGATATATATCATTTCTATTTTTTATTTATTTAATGTTTACAAATTATATAGAAGATAAATATGTAAATATATATATGGGAACGGTGCTGGATCATTCATTCATCATCTGTTATTTTTATCTAGGGTTTTTTTTTACGCTACCGCAAGATGCAAGTACTACCTTTTCATCTCCCAGGCGACAACCTTATTATTTTTCAGGCCGACGACCCAGAACTTGTGAAACCTCCTGCAAAGAACAAATTTACCTCTTGGATGGATTGCAACGCATCAAACCCCGAAGCAAGAACACTCCTGTACACAGAGTTTCCATCGCGATGGGTTTGGTCAGAACAGAAAAAAGCATTGAAACCCAGACTAAGGCAAAGCAAGGCATCAGAGAACGTGGTTCTTCCGCCCGTAACACCACGTTGTGGAGAGGCTTACTATCTGAGGATATTGTTAGGAGTTGTTAGGGGTCCGGTTAGTTTCGAGGATATAATGACCGTGGGGGGCGTTGTTCATCACAGCTTCAAAGATGCGTGTTTTGCACTCGGTCTTGCTCAGAACGAAGATGATGCAAATTAGAAACTGACGATAGTATTGTTAGTCATAATATTTTGTATCGTTTATTTTACTGTTTTAGTTTCATTACGCAAATATTGCGTCAAACAGAATGCGAGATGTTTTTATCTGTCATCTTTTATTTATATCTACACTAATCCGTTAATGGCACAAGATTAATGATACAAAAGTTGATATTCTTGTTTTATAATTTTATAGGTCTATTAATTTTAGATTCGATATAAGAAAAATGAACTGCATACTACAACAGCATTCAGTATACTATGGTATAACTCATTGAAATCATTAGCTAGCTTTCCACTTGTAGAACATACTATTTCACGATTTCTGTGTAAAATCAACCGACCATCAGAACCCTGAAATTCACATATGTACAGGTAGAATACATTGTTTGTTTCTAGAGCACTTACTGAAGATCACGGATCGGAAAATCGATTTTACATATCTTTTTGTGACGTCCTGAAAACAATTCATCCTGGACGGTCATAAGATTTCCAACTGTAGAGACCACACCCAATAAATATATGGTACAAAACATAATTGAAAACGATTTTGTTAGTTACACAATAATGTTATTAAATTATTGTATACCTTAAATACAGATATTGTATAAGAGGGTCTACTGATAGGAAATGTGCAATCAACACGCAAATTCAACACCAATATAAAAGGATGATGTTCAACTACATAATTCGACATAATTCTTCGTATGTTTTGGATCTTAGTGTTATAATCCATGACAATGCACTATTCGTTAGTTATTGTTCGGTTTCGAACAGGAGAATCGAAGCTGGAGAACTTGGTTAGACTGTACCATTCTCCTTGCATGATCTGGTCATCAAACATGCTAATACAGTCTTTCCTTGTTATTGACGCCTGGATCCTTGTACCCTAAATGAGAAATACGTTTTTGTATGATATTGATTATGATAAACAATTGATGAGTGATGATTGTAGGGAACGATTGATAGCAGAGTACTCTGTTTAAAATACTTACCACTTCATCGACGAAGATAACATATAACCCTTCGACACCTCTGGGACATCAATCCACCTTTTTAAGACCATAACTCTTAACATCATGTTGTTAATCAGTGAATGCATGTCCGCTACCATCGAGTTAAATACCATAATGTTTGAATGTGTTCTCTTGAATTGTTAGCTACAGTTTTAACCTAATACTAAACATCACAAATAAGCTTATATATAAAGTGATGTGCTATTTAGGTTTAGGGAAGATAGGAAGTTTAAGATATTTTTTTTTTAGATTCTTTTTAGATTCATGAAAAGCTGTAATGCTCCAAGAAGGAATAACTACATTTTATATTTATTTTGTTATATTTGATATTTACGGATTAAACCGAATAGATAATAATATACATTCATATTAATATTTAAATATCGGAGTAATTATAGAAATACTTACATTTATTTAGAACCAACAAAATAAACTGGTGATCGCGGGATCAGGTCTTCCCCTTTCCTATCCCTGATTCTGCAAGTGCACAGGTCAGAAGTAGTAAACGGGTATCGAACACGAGGACCAGATTGCACACTACAAACTATGAGTTGAGATCGAGCTAGGGCAAAAGTATAAGTTGGTTGAGTGCAGAGAAAGTAAAGCATGCAAGTAATAAAAGTGAAATCAATAGGAGAGAAAGGGCTAAGCAATAGGATAGTCTTGAGATAAGCAATTCATGAAGCATGAAATCAATCAATTAGGGTTACTGCAATTAGGTGCCAATCTAGAACTTGAAACACTATGGTATGATCATTCCACTGTCGAGGCTCCGACCCCTTTGTTAATCTACCTAGTCGCTAAACTTTTGGTATGTCCCTAGGTGATTAAATCAAGCATTAGTTCGATTAAGTTCAATTGTTCACAACCTACAAGTAAATCAACTTTCGCAGTCTAAAAGAGGTTGCCCACCAAATACTAGTTCAGGCGAATGATACAGCACTGTCGAGGCTCAAATCAACCTAAGATCATATGCTAATTGGCCAGATTAACAACAAGCATTAAGTATAAGCAAAGATGGAGATTATAAGTAAAACCCTAATTGTGATCAATCATCAAGCATACATGAATGCTATCCTTTGACTTCCTATCACTTAACAAGTAAACTACTCAGACATAGAGAAGGAACACGAATTCATATTCATAAGAACAGAGATTCGAATCCTCTCTAGAAAGAGAACAAGCAAGAACAAAGTAAAAGCAAGCAAAACTTTATTAAAGATGTAAAGTATATTGTGGTCTCTCTCCTTCTTGAGTTACAAGGCTAAAAAGAAGTATTTATAATGCACTAAGTATGAAAAAGCGGCTAGACCTAATCTAGCTAGGTCGGCGCCGGCTTTGGGCTTGAATTGTGCGGATTGGGCTTCAAAAACGGCTTCGGGTCGACCGCGGCGTTCGGACGGTCGGTCGGGACGTCGGCCGGACAGTCGGGTCGTGGCCGTGTCGGAACGGTCGTGGCCGGATGATTTCGGTCGGCCGGTGTGGTCGGACGGTGATGGAAGGTCGATGGTTTCTCGGCCGGACGTGGGACGTCTTCCCGGCTCGGACGGCGCATCGGCCGTGGTACGCGAAGTAGGTTGCGCGGCCGCGAGGCTTGTTCCCGGCTCGCGCGCATGGTCGTGCGCGGCTTCGTGAAGGTTGTGGTTGGCCGACCGCGGGACATGTTTCCCGGGTCGTGATGTGATCGGCCGGATGGTTGAACTTTGGCCGAGACTTCAGACGGACGGATGATTTTGGCCGAGCGCGGAACATTCGTTCCTCGGCCGGCTCTGCACGGCTGGCGCGGATTCTCGATAGAGCCGTCTGGACAGTCTTCACTCTTTTGGCTATAACTCCTTTTCTACTCATCCAAATGAGGCCGTTCCAGTTGCGTTGGAAAGTTAACTCAATCAGAGCACGCAGGGAACTGGTCTTGATGAAATCCATTGAGTAGATCTTTTTTAGCTCCATCCAAAGTTGATGCAGTGGCATTGAACTGGTTTGAGTCCAAATCCTCTGTTTTGCTCCATAATGCACCTTTTTACCTAAAATGACTCTTTGCACTATAAATCCATAAAAACTACCTTTTAACACAAGAATCCACTAGAAAACCATTAGAAAACCATAGTAAAATAGCATAAAAAGTAGGTAAAATAGAGGTATATCAACTGGATATAGGATTTTTCATGGTTGTGTTATACCATGGACAATTTGAGGCAATGTTGGTTTACACCTGCCGTTCGCCGATTAGAGAATTACAACGGTGAAATCTAGTCTATTAATTGTAAAAATATGATCACGATGACTAAAAGTCCATTGCCAATCATTCAATATGACCGTCACGAAGACAAACATTACAAAATGGATTCAATTGAACGATTCATAGATTATAATCAAGCAATATCTCATCGCTCATTTGTCTGAAGTCAGTGATTCATCGCTTCCATTCCCATAACTCGTAACTCATCGATCTCATCCATTTCCATGCTCGCATCTAACCAGATAGTCAATAAAACATACTACTAACCAAAGATAAGCATTCAGAGTTTCGATATTGACAAAAACATAGATAGTTCTTCAGCATAAAATAGAACATCTAAAAAACATTATCCCCATAATAAGTTTCATAAAAATAGTTAGACATATAATGTAGACTTCAAACTTTGGCAGACTTTTTAGAAGAACTTTATCCTTTGTGGTTACCGGTTTTGCAGCATTCCATCCCATCTTTCTCCATTTCCTCATCTTCTCCTTCTTCGCTAGAATCAAAGGCACTAAAACTGAAGAATAAAACGTTGTTTATGTTACACTATAGCAGGAAATCATGAGACAAACAAAAAGCTATTATCCAGACGACATTAAGATCGCCCTACTACTTGCAAAATCTGGACGAAATTATCGACCTCATCGTAGCCCTTCGGATCGTAATGGAACTTCGAGATTCCTTCTTCATCTTCAACATGAATAGGACCTAAATATTTAATATTCACATGTCAAAAAACAATAATTTACAAATAGCAGAGTTATAGCAAAAAAATTATAAAATCTTGATGAAAATCTGACCTTATGAGGAAACAATGCGACAATCAGTTAGTAGGCATACGATGGTCTCTCTTCTACCAAAGCAAAGCCAGTATTTTTTGAATTTTGCTGCTAAGGCACCCTTCAGAAAAGTTTACTCCCACTACAATAGAGTTATATATGTCTCTTAGAGTCAAAACTCAGAATCACATTATCATAGTAGAGAATTTTATGTTTGATGTCTACATATACTTACTCGTAGTTCTGTAGGATAAAGTAGATCATGTTAGTGGTCTTAGGAGCATTGTTGAATGCATTTCTCGGCATAGATTCATCTACGGCAAGCGTAACGTCTTCAACGGAAAGTACTATCCCCACAAAGTCTTTTAATCAAAAAATAACGAAACACAATCAAAACATATAAAGAAACGAAATATCATTTAGGTTCAATTATCATTTTAAAAAAATGTAACCTCTAAGGTAAAAGTTACATCATGAACAGATCTGTCCCATTCATCTCCAAATGAAACTATATCAAGCAGATTCAAAGCACCCGAATTCTCAGCGGTTATGACTTCGGTGTTGGAAACGAATATGGGCCTAGCGATTTGTCTTATACGTTGGACAATAAAGTCAATTATACATATCCATGCTAAAATAACAACTGATTATAGTTTAATTACGTTAAACCTGAGTGCTTCACATAAACATGAATTAATTTTTTTTATATGGCCATTATTTAATGTTATAGAAAAATGTTAACTAACAAACAAAAAAATCGGAATTAAGATAATAAAGTAATCATCATAAACTGAAAATATTTATATTAGTTATCGATAATCAGAAACAAATGTTATTGTTATTTGAAGAAGGAAGTAGAAAATGAAACCGCAATTACACAAGGGACTAAATTATAGGCGTCATGTCAATAATCAAGGATAAGTGTTTTTCAAGTTATAGTGAATCAAACACTAATTATTCTGAA